CTAGATGCCCTTCAACTGAAGAATGGATAAATAAATTGTGGCACATATACACAATGGAATACTACCCAGCAGAGAAAAACAATGACATCATGAGGTTTGCAGGCAAATGGATGGATCTAGAAAAAAATCATCATGAGTGAGGTAACCCAGACCCAGAAAGACAAATATGGTATGTACTCACTCATAGGAGGATACTAGATGTGGAACAAGGATGACTGGCCAAAATTAATGAATGATTGGGTTGTGAACTGTGGAGGAAAGGGGAAGCTGGACATGGACCTTATTTAGATATAGCAGAATGAACTATCTCTTAAAGACCTCAAGCCTCAAGCCGCTAGATAATAGAAAGGATAATAGTTTAGGCACTTCTAGGGAATAAACATTCACCCAATAGGAATCTCAACTAAAGTGATTTATGGCAGAAAACATTATCTCATAAGAGGCAGATGGTGGGCCCCTCTGTTGAGGAAGTTTAGCATAAAAAACTTAAGGATGGCTCTTTTGATGCCTTAGCTCGTGATCTTGAGTCAGATGTCCGCTCTCTTAAATCCTCTAGATTGGACACAATACTTTCCATTCATTGGGGTATTGATTCTTATTTTCTTTTGGTTCTGTTATTATTTCCTTGTCTTTTTAAAATTATCCTACGTTCCCTACACACAGTAAAGCGTGATCTGCTGGAACTGCGTCTTAAAAACAAAAAACCGGGAAATGCCACACCAACTCCAGTGTCGTCCGTGTGACATGAACAATTATGTCAATAATAACGGACGGGAGATACGTGTCCCATGGGACTAAGCTCCCTGGAGGTCCCTGGCAGAGTGCCTGTGTTATGCCTCCTTCTCGAAGGAGACGTGCTTCACAGATCATGAGCTCTCTGGGCTATGGGTTCTGTATAACTGCTTTTCTGATAATGTTCTAATTAATCTATAAAACACAGCCAAATTAATGAATGCTTGGGTTGTGAACTGTGAAGGAAAGGGGAAGCTGGACATGGACCTTATTTAGATATAGCAGAATGAACTATTCCTTAAAGACCTCAAGCCTCAAGCCGCTAGATAATGGAAAGTATAATAGTTCAGGCACTTCTAGGGAATAAACACTCACCCACTAGGAATCCCAACTAAAGTGATTTATGGCAGAAAACATTATCTCATAAGAGGCAGATGGTGGGCCCCTCTGTTGAGGAAGTTCAGCATAAAAAACTTAAGGACTAGAACAGAACCCTTTCCCCTTACAGGTATAAAAGTACAAGTGTCCATATTCCAGCAGGCAAAAAGGTTTTATATTAGAAGAGATATATGGTAAAGAACTAAAGAAAGACTTAGGGAGGATCTGCAGCATCCAAATTGGCTAAATGGGTCATGAGAACCAGAAAAGTAAAAATGAATAATAAACTAGCGAGCAGCTGAGATAAAGATGAAGGACACAGCTGCAAGAAGCCTACACAAGTATAGGGACTGTACTAAGTTTATAAAAACATAGACTGCTCTTTGGGTCATAAAGTTCTTGTGAGTGAAAGGATATGTCTAGCGCCGATTAATAACTGTGTGCTTGATGTTTTTTAAAGATGATGTAATTGAATTATTGCCAAGCTCTTGTTGTTCCCTGTATGACTTGATAGTTTTCTTTTCTGTATATAAACTACTGATTTGCAGAAGTAAAATTGCAGCAGATTCAAACCACTTTTGAGTGTGTTTGTTGTCTGTCTGTCAGTCGCCGAATACTTGCCTTCCTGACTACCCAAGCCCTGATTCTCCTATGGTCGTGGTACTCCCGGTGGGCCAGTCCGTGGCATCTATACTTGTCTATTAGAGCTTTTGATTTTGTGTTTCTATGGAGGGTGGGTGTGTATGTGTAGGGGTGGGCAGGTTTCTCATGTTTCTTTTTTGTTTGTTTTATTTTACTCTGGTTTGTCTGATTTTTAGAGAGAAAGAGACAGGGCATGGAGTTGAATGGATGGGATAGGGAAGATCTGGGAGAAGATGAAAGAAGAAAACTTTTATCAGAATATATTTTATAAAAAAAATTTTTGTTGTTGTTGTTGGTTTTTTTTTGTTTGTTTGTTTTGTTTTGTTTTGTTTTTTGAGACAGGGTTTCTCTGTGTAGTTTTGCGCCTTTCCTGGATCTCGCTCTGTAGACCAGGCTGGCCTTCGAACTCAGAGATCCGCCTGCCTCTGCCTCCCAAGTGCTGGAATTAAAGGCGTGCACCACTACCACCCAGCCATTTTTTTCAATTAAAATACTGGGAAAAAACACATATAATATTTGCCTTAATATTTTCCTGATGTACCATATACAAAGTTCAATTTAATGAAATAAACTAAGATTATAGATGATCAGATCTCTTCAATGTGTACATCACTGTTAGATCGATGAAACAATTTCTCAAAATGCAAAGGTTTGCTGGGACTCTCTTACCTTAGATGCCATTCTCATGAAAAGTCTGTTTTGATCAATATTTGTTCCCATCTTCTCATTCTTGACTAAATCACTGAGACTAAGATGATCATCATCAGGAAAGTATCGGATCCTTTCTTTATCCGCATGGGTTGAAACCTACAGCAAAGTGAACATAATGAAGTCTCTGCAGATGTTTTGAATGAATTATCCATAAATTTGGTAATAAGTTAAAAAAAAAAAATCCCACATATCACAACCGTCCCTTCCAGGTGAAAGAATGTCCGTCAGAATAACACTTTCCACTTCTTCCCCTTTCCTTTCTTCCTTCCCAGGAGGAAGCATCCCATTCGCTGATTGTCAAGTTTGGCCAAAGATTACAACTATCACAACTAACTGTCCTAGCCCCTCTCTCTTCATGTACTTAAAACTCCTTACCACAGTGGAAGGAAGACTGCCATTATTCATTATTTAAGCAGGAAATAAGTATTGGGAAAAAAGAAAAAAAAGAAAAAAAAAAAAGTAAACATCCACTATTATGCACCTAATGTTTGTATCTCTCCCCTAATTCATGTGTTACCAGGAGTCAGGACTTTGGAGAGGTAATCAGGTAAAAAGGCAGAGCCCCTGTAAGATTAGGATCCTATAAAGACAGGACAACACCTGTTCTGTTTCTGCTCTCTACTATGTGAGAATAAGATGAGAAAGTATCACTGTAAACTGAGATGTTAAACCTATCAGTCATTTGGATAAGAATACATTTGTTGGCCAGGCCACCAATTTGAAATGTTCTTCTGGTTGCCAGAACGATAAAATACACACTCCTAACCAGTAATCTGTTCTACAAACAGCTTTTTTTTTTTTTTTTTTTTTTTTTTTTTTTTTTTTTTTTT